TTAGTTTTTGCCTTAAGTATTTTGAGGCAACAGACAGAATGATAGATGGACTTAGATTTAGATGTAAATAGATATAGTTAAATTCATTACGACTTTTAGAAAATTTGAACCTTTTTCATTATATAGTGACCCTCTCTATTCTTGATGGTGCTCCTAATGGATAAGACAAATTTGCCTGATATCAAAATATATCTCTTCATATGTATGTGTGTGTAGGTGTAGGTGTATCTCCATCCTTTTATTTTTAACTTTTCTAGATCCTTATGTTTTTGGTGGATCTCTTCTAAACTTCGTCAATCTGCATCTTTTTTCCCTATTCAACCTAAGAATCTTAACTGGTGAGTTTAGTCCATTTATGTTTATTATTATTGTGGATATACTTGGACTCATTTCTATCATCATATTTTTTTGCATCTTGTATTTGATCTACTTTTTCCTTTCTTTTTTCTCCTCTCTTGTCCTGTTTTGAACTGAGTGTGTAGTTTTTTCTTTTCACTTTCTCTACTAATTTGGAACACATAACTGTTTGGATTGCTTTACTTATCCCCGTCGACATGTTAGCGAGTGTATTTAGCTAGCAGAGCCTGAATCTTAGGAACGTTGGTCTCCCTCCCATACCACACAAGGTCCTGAGCTTCAGGCCACTGCCACCTGGTGCATGTGGATTGTCAAGTAAGTCAGGGGAGCCTTCCGTTAATCCTCCCAGGAGCCCTCACGTGTCATGCAGTGTTCGTTCCAATTTACCCGCGTGGTTGGAACTTTATTTGCTCTTCCTTCTCAGGACTGCCGCCTCTGCGGATCACTGTCCTGCCTTCTGAGTGTCTCTAGCGATTCCTGCAGAGCAGGAGACAGTAAACGTCTGCAGTTCGTGTTCAGCAACAAATGTGAATGCCTGCGTGTGCCATTAATCTCTGCTTACGAGCTCATGGCTTGGTCCAAATCTGAGCGTCCTGGGGCCTAATTTGGCCATGGCTCTTTCTTTCAGAGATTTGCTTTCCTTCTGCTACTAGGCAGGTGCCCACTCCAGGCTCCAAGCTGGACCCTCAAGCTAGCCCTCCTCCACCTGCATCCCTTGACGATGGTACTGGCCTGGGCACCCCGCCCACCCACACACACACCTGCTGGGCTGACCAGTCTCCACTCCCTGGAGCTCCTGCTGCCCTGGCCCCAGCTCCTTCCACTGTGCCCCAGCATGGGGCCACCCACGCTTCATTCCTCAGCTGCTGAGGACCCCGCTCATATTCGCTTGTCTTTTGTCTGGGGGGTTCCCTGGAATCTTGCCCTTTTATGAGATCTTTGATGCGTCAAAGAGTATTTCCCATCCAGGGTCAGCTGTCTTGGAGCAAGCGTGTCTGGTAGAGCTCCTAAGGTCGTGATTCAAGGGCTGAGACCCCCTCAAGCCCTGAAATCTGAGCTCACTCACGATACACTCAAGGGCTGGGGACATGTCACCCACTCTTTGCCACCACACAGAATGGCCACCTGCTTTGCTTCTCAAGTTCTCATGCCTCCCTTCAAAAGCTTTCCTGCACCTGCCTTGCTGCCAGACCCTCAGGAGACACGTGTTCTGTGGCTGAGCCTGCCTCACCTCCCAGGCTGCTGATTCCGATCTTGCCACAGGCTGGAGACAGGGCCTGGCCCTTTCGGGTTGTGCAAACGTGGACAGAGCCTGGGCTGGGCCTCCTCAAAGCATAGACCTTCTGCCACTGACTTTGACATTGCCCAGCCCAGACCTTGTCTTGCATATTTTCCTGGCCATGGCTGGGTACAGGGACCTCTGCAATGATGAAACGTCCCCCACATGGGCAAAGTGAGAAGTGAATTTGTTTGGAGGTCTGGAACCATGGCAACTGAGAGCCCACACCTGGAGTGTGTGAGCCTGGGCGAGTCACCTCCTCACCTGCGCCTCTGTGTCTTCATCCACACGAGGGGAGTTAACCCGTCGTATCTCCTTCCTGGAGTGCTGCTGCCTATGGAAGGGGCTCTTCCACGTGGAGGGGTGGGTGTTAGTGCCGATAAACATGAGCAGTGTGTGGCCCACAGTGACTTCAGCAGTGCCTACCCGGTTCCAGGCTCTGTACTAAGCCGTGTATGCACATCACCACATCTTTACCTCCCAGCCTAAGAGGTAAGGACGTCCATTATCTGTAATTTAAGGGTGAGAAAAGTGAGACTCCATGAGGTGGGCAGACAGGTGCTGTGCAGCCAGGCTGGCCACGTGAGGAAAGTGGTGCTTCAGGATCTCCCCAAGGAGGCACCCAGCCTCTGGCTAAAATCGTGGCCTCTTCACCAGCCCCATCCTGGCTCCCAAGGGCAAGCGTGAGGCTTCTGGGCTCCAACGGAGGGGCCCTGCCTCCTCCCACCCCAGCAGGGGTCACCCTTGAGAAGGGTCAGGTTCTAGGCCCAAGGCCCCCTGCCCAGCCCCTGGTGTTTTCTCAGGCTGGATGAAGAAACAAGCCGGTTGCTGGGCCTTCCTGTTGTGAAAACCCACTTCCTGCCCTCGGAGCACCCCCTCCCCACTTGGCCAAACTCTGAAGAGGGGCCGGAAAGTGGCAGGCCTTATCTCCCCTCCCCGCTCCAGGAGGAACAGCCTGCCAGGTTGGAATGTGTCCCCTGATAACGCAGCCCGTGAGGGGCCAGCCGGGGCCGGCTGCCCGTCTCGGCCTCACTGAGACACGTGCAGCTGACTGATAGGGGCTCCAGAGGGCCT